TTTTGGGGTTTTACAACTTCCCTGTTTCCTAAACAGAGATTTAAAACTTTAAAAAGTAAAAATAAAAGAAAGAACTTTAACCACATGTAAATTCAAGCTTTTAAGACCAAGGAAGGATCCCTGTAAGTGAAAGATTGCAATGACTCTGATTAAAAGGCATGGCAGCATGATAAAAGTGTGATTATTAAAGATTTTAAAAGAATTCTTAAGGGGGGTGGGGTGGGATAGGAGAAATAGATTTAAAAAAATGTACTTGAAAAGTAACTAAATAAAATTTAATATTAAAAAAAAAAGAATTCTTAAGACATACCCTGAACAAAAAATATAAACCTTAATCCACAATTTCATAAAATCTTTTTTTTTAAATCCTAGGGATTTGTGGACAGGAGGGAAGAAACAAGCTAATGGAGAAGTAAAAACCTACTAAAGCTGTATATTTTGAGGGCAATGAGGCTGTAACATTGTACAAATTAGTTCCAGCTAGCAAGAAACAGAGATTCGAGTACGCATGCTAAGTTACACTGGTATATTAAACATTTAGCCCTTCAGTAAGCTAAGAAGTGTGAATATCAATGGCTGCTATACTTGTTTGTGCTATAAGAACATTTTATAAACAGCATGTATTCTCTTAGGAAATGGAAGAGACACAGACATTTACAAAAGAGAATTCACTCCAAGTCGGTCAGTCACCCCAACACAGAAGAGTCACCAAAAGTAACAGTAATGAAGAACACTTATTGAGAGTTTCTGAAATACAAGGTCCTCCGATAAATGTTTTACATTTGCCATTGAATCCTACATGCACTTAAATAGATAATGTTATTGTTCTCAATTCAGAGATAAAAACAGTGGACTTGGGAAATTAAGTAATTTGCCCTAAGTCAGACAACTAATCAATCAGTGGCAGCACTGGGGGCCAGATCCGGGTGTTTCTGACTCAGCTGGCCAATTTCTCGATCACACTGTCAAACAGTCTTCTCAAGCGGCAAACAGAGGCATTGCCCCTCTAATCACTGCTCAGAAAAACAGCTCAGCCCCAAAGGAACCCGTCTGGTCTGGGAGGCAGTACGGCTCCCCTTTATGAAGATAGGTGAGGTTTTCAGGGCTCCCTCCCTTCTCCAATTTCACGCTCACCAAGCAACTTCCCGGCCCTGGCTCCCAAGTGGCCTGCCTGCAGGGAGATCACAGCACATACTCTGGGGGCCCCGGGCGGTTCCGTAGCTCGTGGTCAATTACTAAGCTAGCACCCTGGTTTTACACATCCCTGTCAGTGAGCTGGGCTAACATGGGTCTCACTCCCTGCGACACTGGCTTTTTAAGCCTGACCACCTCACTCCAGAGTGTGCTGGTTCCGGTCAAGGCAATACTGACCCATGGGAGTGGCTGCGCCCAGCTGACTCCCTCTGGTCTCACCACCTCCATCAAACCTGCAGAATGCAGACCTTCAGGACTAGAGAGAAATTTTTCTAATTCTGCTTAAGTTCTGTAAGGCTTTTCACAGCCTCTCTTGAAACTATTGTGAAACTCAGAATGTGTGATATGTAGAGAATTTCAACAGCTCTCTGAAAGGCTGTTGCTATAGTAAAAAGCATATTTTCCTATGAGGATAATTTTTCCCTTTTTAAAAGTCAATTTTAAACAATCTAAGTCAACTAAATTAAATATAGTGACCTTTCTGTTTTTAGTTTTTTAACGTGTTACAAACTATCTCAGACCAAAAAAAAAAATGAAGAGTAAAAAACAAACATTATATACCCATACATCCAGCTTAAGAAATAAAATACTACCGATATAGTGGAAACCCGTGGAAATAGCATTATAATGATATTATCATGTAGTCTTATGATTGCCGTAATAAAAGTGAAATGGTATTCAATTAAACAAGAAAAGTAAAGGCTGTTTCTCCCCCAGCTTAGATTTGAGCAGTAGCAAAGTTCATCTGCCAAATCTATACACTATGATAATCTTAAATTTGCTTGACAGGAAAATACTATAAGACAACACACCAATATCTCTTGGTATAAATCTTATCCGTGATGTATGGACACAAACCCAGAACAGGTGTTGCTGGCTCAGATTATTTCTGAACAGTCTTTCAGTAAGATTAGGCCTGGGGCTTGAGCCATCTGTTTACATGCTACAGAACACAGCTTCTGAAATTCTGAAATGAAAAACGTGCTATACAAACTAAGTTCCTAACCATGGCTGTCGTTAAGTGTTGGAAATAGTGGAACAGCCTGTTCAGGGGCAAGACATTTTCCAGAGATGACATCTGTTCCCTCTCAACTCACTCTACACCGGCGCGTTAAAATTCATCGTATACCCACAGCTGTATGAAGCTGCTTATTCCCGAGTCTGATAACATCAAACAAGGGATAGCGACTTCTCGGCTCACAGAGAATGAAGGCCATGCCTGTAGGTTCAGTTCAACCTGTATTTACTGAGCACATTCCAGGCCTGGCACTCTGGGTACAAAAATAAATTAACCACGGTTTCTCAAGATGTTGACTCTGTGGTGGTTGTAGGCAGACCTGGTACATGAGGAAGAAATTACAGGAAAAACCAACCAAAATCGGGAAAAAGGAAAAAGGGGTGAAGGAAGCAAAAATGATGGAATAAATGCTAGCAAACAGAAGTGGTGGCTGAGGCCAGCTTTTCTGGTTTACTTTTTTCTCCTAGGACTGCTCCATCCAAGGCTCCCCTTCCTCTATTCAACCCTGAGGGGTCTGCCACATCTTTCCCCGTCCTGGGAAGCCTCACATGTTCTCCTGGCTTCAACTAATTAACTGACCTGGGCTGATGCTTCCAAAATCTCCTCTCCCCAGCCTGGATTCTCACCTGAGCTCCAGACCCACACACCTGCTTCTGCCTACTGAACCTCTCAATGGGCATCTCAAAGTCAGTACTTTCAGAACCAAACTCACCACACACCTCTCCTTATCCCCCTCAAAACTACCCTTCCTTTTATGTTTCCTCTCTCTGTTAGAGCCCCCAGCATTTACTGGAAAACTCAGTCTCAACCCGGACCTCTGGCTAGCCCTTACCCAACAACTCAGGAAGTAGATCCTAAGTATCTCTAGATTACGTATCTCTAGATTACACCCACTTCTCTCCATCCCCACCCAAATTCGAGTGCCCACCTTCTACACAACGACTCCTTTCTAATCGTTCCCCAGAGGGCTCACTCTTCCCCAAAACTAATTGTACCACAGCCCTGTTTAAAAGCTCTTCATTAACTTCCCTATTACTTTCAGGACAAGCCCAAACCTTTCTTTAACAACCCCCTACACACACATTACAACATTACACGCCCCCTGCTCTCAGCCTTTCCTCTCCCACTTCAGACTCCAGGCAGATCACCTGCCTCACGCCTTTGGCCCTGTCCTGTTAGTTCCTTTGTTGGAACAGTCTTTTCCAGCCCCTGTAGGACCACCCTGCCCCATCCTTCAGGTTCAAGTTCAGACATCACTTGCCCTGGGAGGCGTTCCCTGTGTTGTCCCTCCCTATCGTCTTTGCACTCTCCACTCCCCTGGCACAGCATGGGTCGGGCCAGTTTTCTTACTACGGTAAGCTCCTAATACATTATGTGCTTGGCACTAAAGTCTTCAGTATTGAATCATCAAATGCTTGGATGGTCACCAGGGGCACAGTTTATTGCTGACTTTTTATGAACCACAACCATCAGTTAGGAAGACAGGTATTCATGTGGAATAACCAGTTTCTCCATCTTTCTCTTACCCTAGAACCAGGTGGCCAAAGGATGAAGGGTCCTAGGTTTAATTACAGCCCTACTTCTCACAGGCTTTACACAGTATTTTAAATTTATGTGGATACTTGAGGACTCTACAACTTCCTATTGACTAGATGAGGGGTTTTCCAGGACAAACCTCTCTATGATTACTGTAACAGACTAGTTATTAGAGCTTGGCTTCACCTGCACATTAAATCACACAACCACTCTGAGGACTAGGAACCCCTGGTATCCCCATGGTTCCGGTGAGGGAACTGGAGCCCAGAGAGGTCACATAGCTTGCCCAATGCTAAACAACCAGAATTCAAACTCAGACAATGTGTCTCTAGAATCTTGGCCTGGCCTATGGAAAACGATGAAGGTTGAATGAATAAATGAAGTCTATATAATGTACTAGATCAAGATGACACATTGGGGATTATATTGGGTTGGCCAGGAAGTCTGTATGGTACTCCCCATAAAATAAGACACATTTTTTCATTTTCACCAATAACTATTGATTTGCATATTCTGAGTAAGTTGGCTATCTCCCACTATTGGCTTCTAGTGGGTAGAGGCCAGGGGTGCTGCTAAACCTCTTCCAATGCATAAGACAGCCCCACAGCAAAGAATTATTTGGCCAAAATGTCAACAGTACCAAGAAACTTCACAAACCACTTTTGACACATTCAATCAGTCACAGAACCTTCTCCATATACTACACAAATATTTTTGCATTTCACTTGCATTTTTACCTTTCTTGAAATAATAAAGCATATGCCAAAAATGTTGCATATTTTTCCATCTTCAATATTAAAATGGCTGCAGAAAAAATTCACCAATTTTGATGGGGTTTTTTTTTTAATGCACACTAATGTGACAGCTGTCACAATACAATCGAACAAAGTGAAAGACAGCTAAGTGCTACTACAGCCAGCATACATAAAGAACTTTTTGGCCAACCCAATAGTAGAAAAAGGAAACTTGATCATTCAAAATGCAATCGTATTTGATTTTGAATTACATTTGGGGGGGGCATGTAAACATTTAAAAAACTTGGACACTGTTCACTATCTTACAGGGTACCCCAAAAGAAAAACCCCTTGTTCTGTGTCCATTCCTTATTCATGGGATATGGGCTTGCAGGCTCAACTCAAGATACCCTGGCCAGGGACACACTTTGAGAACGCAGAGCCAACATACATTCAAGTGGCTGGGAGCTAAGGAGAGAAGCCAGGCCAGAAGAGCCGGCAGCCTTTATGCAGCTTACCTCCCGCAGCTCCAGCCTCTGGGCCACGGCCTCCAAGCTCTCCTGACCAGTGCTCTCCACTGACAGTGTGAACTCCACAAACTCGTTATTGAGCAGCTGGATCCGGGCAACCAGGCAGCTCTTGCTGGACACCGTGTAGCGCCGGGTACGTTTGAGTTTTAATCCAAATGGCAGTGGCATCTTTTTCTCTCTTCAAGAGTGGAGGGGTAACACGGGAAAAGCACCGCTACCAATGCAGAGGTGTTGCGGGAGGAGGAGGAGGGTGATCCCCTCCTGCCCCGAGGGGTACTGCACAGTCTCGGGCTGCTCACCCAGCAGCTGCCGCCGCCATTAAAACACAACTGAGTCTCCAAAGGCCAGGTGAAGGGAGCATCCACGCCAGTGCTGGAGAGAGAGGAACACTGGTTACACAGGCCATGGCAACTCTGGACTTTAAAAAATAAACATCAATAACGCTACAGCCAAAGAATAACCTTTCTCTCTCTTCTGGAAAAAAGGCATGAACAGGGTCTGGGAGACAGCGAGGAAGTTTAATCAGAGCTGGGCAGACCCTCGGTCAGATTCCTTCCAACAGTGGCAACGACCACCTGTGGACGTTTCAGGATTAAATGCGATAGTTACTGGCACTATTATAACCCCAAATTGAGTAGCTAGCATTAGTGGTCCTGTTTCTGTGTTAGGTAAGATTTTGTTTGTTCATAGTTAACTCTTTGTCTCCCCAATACTCCAAATATGAGGATCTTTAATCCTTAGGTGAGTTAACGGCAAAACACCTCCAGAAGTGCAAGATTCAAGCCTCAGTCCCAAAAGGCAAATTAACCCTAGACCCAAATGAGAGGCATAATCCCCTCTAACATATGGCAGCTGTGAGGTTCAAACAAGGTGAAGCGCTTAACGAGCATTTGTAGAGCCGTTTCTGGCTTATAAATGCTGACGCCATCAAATTGATGTATTTATAATAAATCACAGACGACCTTACAAATGTTTGCTATCCGACTACCAAGTTCTGAAAAGCGTGGCCCCATCTCCTCTCCGGGTGTGATGCCGAAAGAGGCGGTGCACCTTCACCTAAGTACAGAGACAATAACGAGGGGCGGACAGAGTTCCGCCAGCCCTCGTTAGAGCTAAGAGCCCAGCCCTCCGAGCTAAGAGCACAGCGGAGAGCTCGGGCTCCGACTCCTCGCGGAATAGCAGGCGGCATCGCCCGGCCAACGCGCAGCCTCCCAGCATCCGGAACCCTCGGCCCGCGGCTGAGTTTCCGGACGGACGCCCTAGGGAAGGTCCGGCCCCGCTGCTCCGGAGGGAACTTTTAAAGGACCCAGCTCGAGACCCCACAGGTGGTGTTGGGAGCTGCGCGGGGTCCTGTAGATTCCCGGTGCGGAGCCTCACGAGTCCAACATATCCGATTCACAGCGTCTGTAATCACACCTCTTGGTGGTAACTCCTGAACTGAAGCAAATTGGCCTTGAGCGGCAAGTCGGGATTTTTACGTTAGCCGGATGTTTCTCCCACTGAACGAGCCGGCAGAATCCCGGGACAGACCAGACCCTCCGATTTCTTTTGAGCACAGATGCCTCCGAACAGGATCATTCCGCGAGGCTCGGCAGCGGCTGGCAACTCTGAACTCGGGTCGGGAACCGCGCGAAGGGGCGGGGTCCGCTCCCAGCCCTCGGCCGCACACTAGCACGGGAAGAGGTGGGGCTGGGTCGCAGTCTGCTCGTGCCCAGGCCGCTTTTCCGCCCTGCAGACCGGGAGTCTACGCCAGAGCAGACGGGCACGCACTCGGGGTTGGGGGGTTGGCAGAGCCAGAAAATACAGCTCAGCTATTACACTAGCCTTTGCAACGTTTTGTAGTTGCATTCCTCAAAAGTGTGTTTACGTCTCCGGGTGCAAGGCAACGTTGTGGGCACCGTGAGAAATCTAAGAGGAATCCTAAACCGTCGCTGCCCCTAAGGAGGTTACAAGCATGCCGTATTTACGTTCGGGGCTGTATCTCTAAAACGGACCCAACCACGGTTTTCGCTGTCTGGTTTTTTGTTCGTTTTTGTTCCTTGTGTTTTGGTATGGTTTTGGTTTGTGAGTTCTGGCTATTCCTAGAAAGCCCAAATAAAATAAAAGTTAAAAAACAAGGAATGGAGAAGGAAGACCAGAGGAAAAAAAGAAAACCGGAACTACATACAGCACTGTTAAAAGCATTTCCTGAGTGCCTTCTATAGGTAAAAACAGCATACTAAGGAGGGAAATAGAAAATAAATATTATGGTCTCCACTGCAGTTTATAATGCTCTTCGCTATGTCAGGGTTTTATAAACTAAATAGATAGTTGAGGCAAAAGTGAAAAAAAACCTCAAGAAATTAGAACCTCAATACTTTAAAACTAGTGTTTATAGAAATTTTAAAAAGCCATATACGTACAATACACAGGATCTGACACAAATAACACCTACTACAAAATCATAACCATGTAATTCTATAACAAGAATGTCACTCAAGCACACGTGACATTTTAGGTGAAATCTTCAAATTAAAACTATAAATTATACCCATATTACCCTACCAACCACACTCAGGGAGGCGTTACTTCTGCCGGGCCCTCTATGTACTAAATACCCTTTCATGAAATGAGGTGATGGATTTCAACTGTACACAAATTATGGTAACTGGAAACAGGATTAAGCGGGGCAGATAAACAAGATATTGCACATAAGCAGAGGAGAGATGAGCATTTGCATTAAGGGTGTTCAAATACAGTGGACTCTTCACTATAAAGATAGAACTATGCCTTAAAGGTGGTAAATAGGACACAATGTAATTTAATTATTAACTTAAGCTCTGATTAAGCAAACTCTGAGTAAAACTTTCAACTATCCCTGAGCTTTGAAATGTTTTACAGCATCAGAGGTAAAGAAAAGCCGATTCGTTCTCTTTTTTATTTTGGTAGATGTTATGGTGTAATTGAAAAAGTTGAGGGTTTGTGAGTGTCTCAGGTGCATTCCCTTCACCCAAGATCTATCCATAAGAATAGCCTGCTTTTTGCTTATTTATTTAACCTACTGTGTTAAAACAATGTTTTGCTTAATCACAAAATCATCAATGATGTACACACCTTAGCTTTCATTTATGTACAATATTTACTACTAAATGACGTCATAAAGTTATACATCTTTGAATAGAGGAATAGAAATTTAGGATGCTTTTTGGAAAATCTGTCTCGGGTAAAATGGTATGTAATAATTTGAAAGGTAGCTGAGTCTTGAGTTATAAACTTCCTAACTACTAAAGTAAACAATTTGTAATTAGCTTTTGAGGGGGAAAAAAACTACGATATTTTGTTTCTCTACAAAACCTGTTTGTTAGTAATAAGAAAACAAATACATGTTAAATTCTGTTCAAGTTTTCAAAAGACAGCCAGAGATATTTGTAAATTCATTTTAATGTCTTCTCACACCTCCTCTCAAAAGTTTCTCAAATGCACTTTAACTCTGAATCCTGTAGTTTCCCCCCTTGCTGATAAGGTCTTCACCACCTGTAACTTTGCCAATGATGCTTTAAAATAATCGGGAAAGAGATTACGATTTTTTAAGTAATATATACATCTACAGCATTAAATCCAACGTATGTTTCTCCAGGACCAAACATTTATACGTAGATACTCGAGAACAAAATGCCCTAGAAACAAAACAACTACCTTCAGAGTAAAATTACTGTCATATCCGACACTTCAAAAAAAAAAAAAAAAAACCCTGTCAACAACTACGAGGCGTACGGCGGCTGTCACTGGGAGCACTCGGCGTGTTTTGGATGTTTGAGAGCATACGCTATTATTATAAGGCTTTCTCAGCGAAAAAAAAAAAAGGAAATAAGACGAGCATGCCAAGAACTTGTAATCAGGATTTGCAGAAATCACAAGTCGCAATTTGCAGACCCAAGAATTCTTTTTTCCAGAGTAAACACTCTTCACTCAAAAAACAAAACCAGCCAACGCCAAGCAGTCCTTCCCTGTTCCCCTGCTCGCCTACGTTACCGGGCAATTTCGCACTGAATATCCCGAGGCAAAGATGTGCCTAAGACTTTTAAAAGGCGCGACCCTCGGAGGGGAGCTCTGAACAGACGTTCAAGCCCTCCCTTAGAAATTACTCCGGTAGGTCACAGATAACCTGGACATGAAACACTTTTCTCTTTGTTGCGCTCCTGCCACCGGCCAGTAGCCGGGACCCGTCCTCCGGGGCCGGCCGCCGCGATCTGGGGTCCGGGCGGGCGGACGCACCCCCACCGCCCGGCCCCAGCGCCCGCCCCCAGCCCGCAGCCCCGCGCCCTCACCTGCTCTGGCGCCCGCATCCTCCGGGCCGCGCGCCCTGCTCAGCGGCCCGCCTCCCGGGGCCCCGCCGCGCGGCCGCCGCAGCCGCGCCCGCAGCGCGCAGCGCTCACGGGGCTCTTGGGCCACACTTCCTGTCCCCGAAAACCTGGCCCGGAGACCATGCCCCCGGGCGCGACCGGCGGCGGCCGAGGCTCGGGCACCGCCTGGAGGTGGGACCCGGCGGCCGGGAGCGGCTCACAAAGGAAGCGCGCGGGGGTCGGGCGGCAGGAAGAGCGACCGACGGGCTGGGGACGCGCGGCCCGAGCAGCGGAGCGGCCGAGCGGGCGGGCGGATCTGGGGAGGCGGCTGCGGTCCGTGACCTCAGAGAGTTGGAATGCGGGCGGCGGGGCGCGGGGGAGGCGCGGACGAGGCGCGGACAGCTGCGCCCGCCCGCCGGGGAGGGGGCGCGCCGCTTCTTTTTATAATCATATGACCGCTTATTTTAAGAGTTTCCAAATAAAGCAAGGCTTTTAATACAAATGAGGGGAAGGGGACATTAGTTCTGTTCCAGGGGAAGGGTTTTATTCAGTGTTGTTAGGTGGTTCGTAAAATGCTGTTTTTGCTGGAGTGTTTCATTTACTCTCGTACATTTCTGAGCACAATTTAAACATTCTTTTCTTCCTCCTACGCTTACCCTAAGGATATACCCCACCAAAAAAAAAATAAATAAAGGAAAAACCCTAGTATTAGGTGGGAAGGTCCCCTTTCTCCAAAAAGAGTTGATATGCCTCAAATAACCCATGAGTCTCAAAAAAAAAGAAAGAAAGAAAAGTTGCATGCATATGCAATACCAAGTGAGAGCTATTAGGGATGCAGACTCCGTGGACAAGAGGTCTCGGTTCGACTCTCAGCGCCAACACCTGCTAGCTGGTGACCTTGTGCGTACTTCCTTTTTTATAAAGTGAGAAAAAAATTATCACTATCTAGTAGCTTGAGTAAAATATATGTTGTGCTTCATTTAATTCTGCACCCTAGTAACAATGGTTACTATTGCGTGGTATCATCACACGGTGCTATTAGTCTGTCTTGCAACCCTTAGCCAGGGAATAAAAGTGGGGCCCTGACAATCGCATCAGTGTGTTTGATCTTTACTTGGCATGTGGTAGTTTGAGTGTGTGCAGAGAAGCTCTTCTGTAAGTGGTTTTTAAAAATACTGTGGTTTCTGAAAAGCTTGTTTACGTTACATCTCTTTTAAATCTCATTTTCTTCTTCAACAGTTAATAGACGCTTATTGGGTACTTACCGAAAGTCCTGGTGCCTGGACACAAAGGACCTCTGGTGCAGTGGGTGATAAACACACCTACACACACACACACACACACACACACACGTAGTACCCCTGAGGCCTAAATGGTGAGCACCATCCTAGAGGTATAAATGCTTGGGAAAAAGAAAGCATGGGAAAGATTCAGGTTGGGCCATGGAGCTAAAGACATCTAAGATTACATGTGCTCTTAAATAAATAAATACATAAAGAGTGTTTGTAATTGATATTTCAACAGGACACTACAAGGGGCTCAATTTCTGTGTGAGGTTAGAAAAGAGACATGAAAATGAGTCACTTTCCTGGTCTCCCAGGCTAGAAAAATTGAAATTCTGCGTGATCCTTCTCCCTTTCTCATCTAGCCTGACTTAATAAGACCCGATAGGTCCTCCTTTGAAAGGTCTCATGAATTTTCTTTCCTCTCTGTTCCTCAACATCCCCTCCCCCATTCTAATCCAAACCCTCATCATTTTACATCCGGATTTACTGCCACAAGGGTGGTCTCCTTGCTTTTGGTTTCTCAGCTCTCTCGTTTACAGACTAATAGCAAGTGTGCCTCTCCCTTGGGACCCCCACAGAGAAGCCAGCTTTTCTGCCTGACCTTTAGGGCTTTTCTAAACTGGCCTCGGCCTCTCAGACCATCCTTATTTCTCTCCTCTCCCAGATGCTCCCATGGAGCTGTTTCTCCTGGCCTGGAGCTCCCGCTGCCCCCGCTTCCACCTGCCTAAGCCTTCCGTTGCTCTCCGAGCCTCAACTCAAGGCCTCTGCTTCCAAGACAACTTTCTAGCTGCCCCATTCCACAGTGATCTCCACCCTTGGCAAGAAGTTTAAAAACTGTTTCACGAAGGCTTGTTTTATATCTCCTAGAATTCCTAGGACACCACTCTGCAGAGACTAAGCACTAAATAAACACTTGTTAATTAAATCAAAAAGAAGAGAAAAGGCTTTTAAAAATAGAAAATTATCATAAAGCCCACGGTTGTCAGATAACTGAGTTGAACTTCTGCCCTCATAACCCACCAGTGGCATCTGCTGACCAACTACTGTAGCTCTGTTCCCCCAACCATGTTCATTAGAACCAACATCCTCACCAGAAGCCACTTGAACAATGCTTTCCAAATACCACAC